ATAGCTACTGTTTGAATGAACTAATAAATGAAATGAGTGAGCTAATAAACAAATACAATTAAATGGATAGAGTAAAAGTGTTTCCCAGGCTTATGAAATTGACTAATAAGAAAAGCTAATAAAGATTTTAAAAATAAACTTAAACAGCACAGTATCCTCCAAAGAAAACTTGGATTGTATCTTCTCCTTGCTGTTTCTATGTGTAACATAAATCCTCCAGGCCAGGAGATACACTGCTTTGTCTTGCATCTATTCCTGATGTTCCTCCTGTCTTCTCAGTATTGTCGGCAGCTGTCTGTTTTCTCCGGTTGCAGCCTCACTGTGTTGTCATCTCTTGGCAATGAAAAATAAGCCTATATTTTATAGCATTAAAAAAAATCCAGAGCAGCAACAAAAACAGTATTGTTATACAGTTTCAGAACATTCATTGCTTTCACTAAAAGATTAAAGAAAGGAATCCAGGCCTATCTTAGTCTACACCTTGTGTAGACTATCCTCTACTGGCTCACTCATTCCATGCCCCAAATATGCAGGATGTCTAAGACATTTATGTTCAGCATCGCTGTTTCTCAGCAGCAGAGTATAATCAAGATTAGAGGCGAAATCACTCACCAACCGATTAGCCAAATGCTGCCATCTGGCTGTCACTCCTGGAACTGACATGAATTGTGAATCTGCTGGACTCTTGGAGCAAAGCAGGGTTGATTCACTAAGGCGCAGAAAAATCATCCCTGATTCAACAGGAAGTGAGCAACCCAAATTAGCAAGGGCAATGTTTTGAGAGTCAGGCAGCCCAACTCTACGTGTGCAGTCCAAGGACTGGGCCCAGCTGAACTCCTAGTTTGATGTATACGGGTACTATTGTCTTTTGATTTCAAATTCTGCTTTATAATGGTGGATTGCATTGTGTGAATGACTGAAATGGCTTCCAAGGGACCTGTACTTTATCTTGTTCTACTGAAAGCCTATCTTTTGATTACTGATAATGAAAACAGTATCAAACATGGCTATTGTTCTTTTAAATGTCACCTCCTATATCCACAGCCACCTTTTACCTTTGCCCAGAGAGATATAAAGCTCTATGTCATATTCGTGTGCCTACAGCTGTAGATGTGAGATATGGTGTTAGGAAGAGAGAGAAGTAAAGAGGTTGTGGGAGGAAGGGCAGATGTTTGACTGATTTCCTCTTTGCCTCAAGAACAATGCATGCAACTTCTGAAGGTATACTTAGTACTTGGATTATAGCTTCAGCAGATCAATATACTTTGGGTTATTTTTCCATTGGCACTTCCAGTTTATATGGTTTTATCTACTTTCTCTTATCCTGATTCTTTGTGACCAAGAATATGGTTTAGCAAGATAACTGGCTACAGAGAAAACCTTACCTATTCATGCAAGAGCAAACCCAGGACATCAGCTTTTCTACACTAACCAAGTAAACAGGACATAGAAAAACATTTGAGGACAGCAGGCCAATGTAGACACCAAGAGGTTCATGGCAAAGCTCTAGCTACAAGAGAAAATTGAATCATCTCCACATCATCCCAACACATACTTTTGGATCAGGATTTTCCCCAAACGCTTTCTCCACTGCACCACCCTGACTCACAATAAGAACATCTTTTGACATTGTGGTCTAAAACATTGAGGCTGTGACCATGAGAAAATTGCTTAACCTTTCTCAGCATATTTCCTCATAAGTAAAATGACATATAATACCTACCTCTTAGGGATGTTATGAAGAAAAAATGGGAAAGTCAATGTAAAGTGCCTATAAAAAGAAGGCCTAGCACATGCTAAATGCTCAGCAAATGTTGGCAATTACTGTATTAATTTATTACTATTTCCATTTTTCTTGGTTCCCTCTGCTTCTGTCAATCTGGATAAAATAATGAATGGCTACACTGAGTTGCATATATTATTGACCCCTTTTTATTTCATAGAGCTAGCTGTATTCCCAACAAATTGGAAGTCTGTTTTTAAACTATAAAATATCTCAGCCACTAGATCCCTAGAGAATTTTTTCCTCTCCAAATTGCATAGAATTTTCTTCCTTGTATGTCACTATCCTTCAAAGGACTTGGCATTTTGGAGTTCTCCTTTTCTTTCCTTGCAAAGCCAACAATCACAGCTGACCAGGACTTCCAATTCTTCACGATTTACTTACGATAAAATGACCTGCCTGTGACTTGATATTTTATTTTATTTTATTTATTTATTTATTTTATTTTATTTTATTTTATTTTGAGACGGAGTTTCGCTCTTGTTACCCAGGCTGGAGTGCAATGTTGCGATCTCGGCTCACCGCAACCTCCGCCTCCCGGGTTCAGGCAATTCTCCTGCCTCAGCCTCCTGAGTAGCTGGGATTACAGGCACTCGCCACCATGCCCAGCTAATTTTTTTGTATTTTTAGTAGAGACGGGGTTTCACCATGTTGACCAGGATGGTCTCGATCTCTTGACCTCGTGATCCCACCCTCCTCAGCCTCCCAAAGTGCTGGGATTACAGGCTTGAGCCACTGCGCCGGGCTTGATATTTTATTTTAAACAGCTTGTGGTTGTGATAGAACAAGAGGCCCAGACCAAAAGGGACTAGGAATGCTTACCCAGCTGCCAGGACCATCAGCAGGTCAGGAAACACCCCCATCCCACTGCCATGTGATTTCCTGTGAAGCAGCCATTTCCCTTAACACCGAGAGCAGACTATGCAGTGACAATGCTCCAGGCAGATGTTTGGAGATGTGAGTTTTCACAGCTTATGCTGTGATCAGTATGATAATGGTCCATGCCTTTGACTTGCCATGTGAAGGCCTTGAGTGGGGGCAATGATCTTGAGTAACATCGTCTCGCCTCAAGGAGCTAGTACTGGATGGAGAATTTGAGAAAAGGGCCCACACAGTTCGCCAAAAACTGTGACTTTCGCTACCCCAGGCTGAGCAAGAGTCCCCACATTGGGTGGCTCTAAAAAAAAGATAAAAATAAAAAAACTGTGACTTTCTCATTTTCTGAGAGGCTTTTGAGATTTTGTAATATGGCAAATTTTCTAGTAAGAGAGGTTTGGAATACTTTTTTCTATTTTCTTAGGAAATGACAGTGTTTTCCATTTTGAAATAGACTAACCCAAAGAGGAGAGATCCCTGTGCTGAGCACACACAAGCAAGCTACTTCTCAAACCCATTTCTAAATGTAAATATCCTGCAGTGAGGCTGGGCTCTCCGAGGTGGTACCTGGACCATGCTCTATAACCTGAGTACTGGGGAGCCAGGGCTTTTGGCCCACTGTAGGGCAATATTGGGAGCAGGAGAGGCCACCACAGGGAATAATGAGATCACAATAATTATGTGTTCACAAGGCAGTGAAACTGCTGATTTATAACTAATTTATTGGCAACCACTTTCTAAATAAAATATCCAGGCACTTATTGACAGAAATTAGGTAACAGGAAGCTAACCACTGATTGAACAGTGTATTTTACAATGAGAGTATTAAGTTGTATTTACTTAAAAATAAATCTTGAAGGAGAATAAGGGGTAAACTTGGAATCGTTTTTTTGAGATGAAATTTCCGTCTGTCACCAGGCTGGAGTGCAATGGAGTGATCTCGGCTCACTGCAACCTTTGACCCCCAGGTTCAAGTGATTCTCCTGCCTCAGCCTCCTGAGTAGCTGAGACTACAGGCACACACCACCACGTCCAGCTAATTTTTGTATTGTTAGTAGAGATGGGGTTTCATTATGCTGGCCATGATAGTCTCCATCTCTTCTTCTTCTTCTTTTTTTTTTTTTTGATATGAAGTCTTGCTCTTGTCCCCCAGGCTGAAGTGCAATGGTGTGATCTTGGCTTATTGAATCCTCTACCTCCTGGGTTCCAGCAATTCTCCTGCCTCAGCCTCCTGAGTAGCTGGGATTACAGGTGCTTGCCATCACACCGGCTAATTTTTGTATTTTTAGTAGAGACAGGGTTTCACCATGTTAGCCAGGCTGGTCTCGAACTTCTGACCTTAGGTAATCTGCCCAACTCGGCCTCCCAAAGTGCTGGGATTACAGGTATGAGCCACTGTGCCCAGCCAGAATCTTTTCATAACTTCCCCAAAACATCACACTTGCCTGACATTAGTTGATAAAGTAAAAGATTACAGATAAAATAATGTAATTGGTTTTTGAAATTTATATAAAATAACCATGAAAAGAGAATATCCCTGAAGCATTCCATTCAAACATTGAAATTATCTCTTGCTACCCTGAATGAATTTTGGTACTTATGCTGGATTACGTGTGTGTGCGTGTGTGTGTGTGTGTGTGTGTGTGTGTGAGAGAGAGAGAGAGAGAGAGAGAGAAAGTATAATAATCTGTTGCTATGTAGGTACTTGGTCCTTAGAAACTCCTCCTGAAGGTCTCATATTTGTAGAAGTAATATTAGTTTACTATTTGACAGAAAAAAACAATTTGCCTCTCTTGAAAATTCTGCTTAGTGGCTATGAGCCCTGGATTTTTTTCATCTCTCTCTGTAGATCAATTTACCATTCTTTCCCTCACAGAGAGGTAAAGTCTACCTCCCTAATGACTTGTAAAAAACTGACTAATAAGGAAAAAGGTGGCCAGGTATGGTGGCTCAAGCTTGCAATCCCAGCACTTTGACAAGTCAAGGTGGGTAGATCACCTCAGGCCAGGAGTTCAAGACCAGCCTGGCCAACATAGTGAAATATTGTCTCTAGTAAAAAATACAAAAATTAACCAGGTGTGGCAGTGCATACCTGTAATCCCAGCCACTCAGGAGGCTGAGGCAGGAGAATCACTTGAACACAGGAGGTGGAGGCTGCGGTGAGCTGAGATTGTGCCATTGCACTCCAGCCTGGCGACAGAGTGAGACTCCATCTCAAAAAAAAAAAAAAAAAGAAAGAAAGAAAAAGGCATTTCTATTCTATGCAGTCCTCGCAGGGCGCAACCAAGAAGAGAAAATGGGGGAAAGATCAATACGCCCAGAATCAGTGAGAAGACTCTGATTCTTATTGATTTCAGAGACATTTTTATTTATTAAACATGTTGTCAAACAGAAAACAAAAGGTCAAGGTGGCTCTTTCTTTGGGCCCTTGGCAATGAATGTTGCCACCACTGTTATGGGGTGCAGAGGAGAAATGTCAGGCAAGGACAGTAGAGCCAGCACTGGACCAGTGGCCCATTGGTTACGGACGGAAAATGGACTCATCTAAGTGGACAGGTAAGCCATTTTCACAGGCAATAACAATGTTTCTGAACCCTGCTGTGGCTCGGTACCGGCATGGAGGCCGGGGGGACCCTCCTATATGCCTGCAAATGGTGACCTGGAAAGCAGACGTGCTTATTCTTTGGTTTCCGTTGTAAGGCTGTCCATTCTGATTTCCACAGATGGCCTTGATGCTGGCCTTGTTGCCATGAATAAAGGTGTTGATTTCTTTGCAGGGTGAGATCATGTTCCTTAACCTCATCATTTTTTCACAGTATTTGTCATTCCCGTTCTTTGTTTTGGGATCATAGTGCTGGTCCAGGAACTTGATGTACCTGCTGTCATTTTGAGCCAGAGTCGGTGGGGTCAGACCCAGACCCAGAATGAAGACCAACAACAAAAGGTGCGGGCCCATCACCATCTCTTCCAACACAGGCTCCTGCCAAGGGCAAAAGGAGACGTAGTAGGGGCAAGAACAGCATTGCCAAATTAGGCTAAAGGATCAGGAGCTTTGCTCTCTGACATGGCATCATGAATCAGATCTTTGCTGCCACCAAATTATATCTTTTCTTTTCCCTTCCTCATTAACCTCACACCTCTTGTCAATCCATTCCTCTGGAAATTTAATAGTGTCCTGAGCACAGCCTCTAGCTCCGACCATTCTTTCCTATCCTTTAGAATCACTGAGTATTTCTCTATCAGTCATGACATTACAAAATCTACTCTCTCCTTAATTCATTTATTAATTAATTGAATAACAAACCTTACATAAGTCTCTACTGGTATCAAGGACTGTGCTAGGTCCTGAGACACAATGACCATTAAGACACACCAAATGCCTCCCTAACAGGAAATGAGGCAGCCATAGGGAAAGGATGGGGGCTTCAATGTATTGAGATGAGATGTAACACAGGAGGTAAGAGCTAGGAAGAGAGAATTTTAAGGGAGTGGTCCCCAACATTTTTGGCACCAGGGACCATTTTCATGGAAGATAGTATTTCCATGGAAGGGTGGGAGATGGTTTCAGGATGAAATTGCTCTAGCTCACATGATCAGGCATTAGATTCTCTTAAAGAATGCACAGTCTAGATCCCTCACATGTGCAGTTCACAATAAGCTTCCAGCTCCTATGAGAATCTAATGCTGCCTGTTGATCTGACAGGAGGCGGAGCTCAGGCGGACAGGCCACAGATCGGAATTTGGGGACCCCTGTTTTAGGGAACCCTGAGCCCAAGGAAGGGTCAACCACAGAATTGTTTACAACATGATTCTCGTTAATTAGTCAGCTAATGCAAAGAAAGCAGTTGAAAGCAGTTTTATCCTGAGTTGAAAGGAAGCAGATCTACTTCCCCAAGAAGTAGGTGGTTCATGGCCAAAGGTAAATTTCTTATGTACTATTTAGAAAGAAGAGGGAGGAGCATAGAAGAAGACACACAATGTTTGGAAGATGGGTCTGGATCAACTCTTTTTTTTTTTTGAGATGGGTCTGGGTCTATCACCCAGGCTGTAGTGCAGTGGTGCTATCTCGGCTAACTGCAACCTCCACCTCCCAGGTTCAAGCAATTCTCCTGCCTCAGCCTCCCAAGTAGCTGGGATTACAGGCACACACCATCATGCCTGGCTAATTTTTTACTTTTTTGAAGTAGAGGCAGAGTTTCACCATGTTGGCCAGGCTGGTCTTGAACTCCTGACCTTGTGACCCGCCTGCCTTGGCCTCCCAAAGTGCTGGGATTACAGGTGTCAGCCACTGTGCCCGGTCTGGAATCAACTCTTACAGAGAAGAAAGAGGAATTCATGCTTATTCTTAGGAGCTTCTCGCATTGGAAGCAACTGAGATTATTCTAGAGAATATTTTCTAGTTTCTCCTACATTTGTACTTACGCTGTTACACAACAGGCAAATGCTGCCACCATGTGATTAAAAAAAATGCCTTAGACTTTTTCATCAACTCAACGGCCTTAAAATTTGCTCTAATGATTTCTTAACATCTTTTCAAAAGAAGAATGAGAAAAAGAGGATTCCTGTCATCACCTCTCAAGAGCTGTCAGTCTCAAACTGTAGAACACACACAACCCAGGAATGGTGCATCAAACACATCTTTAGGTAAATACAATGCTTCTTCATGGAGCATAATTTTAACTCAATGACTGATCACTGAAAATAGAACTAAACAAATATGAATTATAACAAAACAGAAAGCAAATTTCTTATGAACTTTAAATATTCTATTGCTTATGAAATTTCAAGATTAGAGAATTGAAAGGTACCTGGTATTTGTGACAAGCAGTTTCTGACTATATATATATATATATATATATATAGGGTTTTTTTTTGCAACTACATCTGCATTTTTTTGCAACTACATCTGCATATATTTTTAATTCTTTGGACATTTTTTTTTTTTTTTTTTGAGATAGAGTCTCTGTAGCCCAGGCTGGAGAACAGTGATGTGATCTAGGCTCACTGCAACCTCTGCTTCCTGGGTTCAAGTGATTCTCCTGCCTCAGACTCCTGAGTAGCTGGGATTACAGGTATGCACCACCACACCTGGCTAATTTTTGTATTTGGGGTAGAGACGGGGTTTCACCATGTTGGTCAGGTTGGTTTCGAACTCCTGACCTCATGATCTACCGGCCTGGGCCTCCCATGCTGGGATTACAGGCATGAGCTGCTGTACCCAGCTGAACAAAATTTTAAAGACCATTCAGAGCCTTTAAAAACCACTACAGATCTAATCCACATTATGTCTAATATATGTGAATATCCCTATACATTTGACAATAAAAATAACTTTTCACTGTAAAATTTTACCTGATTTTTAGAATTTTTCTTTTTAAATTGTTTCTGAGTAACTCACTGACTTTGTGATTGGCCATGATTTCTTGGTAGTCATCACACATACTGAGAATTTCTCACAAAGGGAGGAAATTACATTTAATTACATAATTACATTAAATTACATTTAAGAATGTAATACAATTCTTATGACCCCTAATGTAAAAATAAATGGTACATTTCATAGACATTAAATTAATTGTTAACTTTTTATTTTGGGCTTCTCTTGTGTGTAAGTCAATGAACATCTTCATATCAAATAGTTCTGTAGCCCTAGCAGGAAGTGCCAATGTTATACAAGTCGTGGAGATATTGCTGTTCACAGAAGGGAATCTGAACTTAAAAAGTCCTAGCACTAGGCCTGTGGTGTGGCTAGTTCCTTCTGAGAGCATGACCATGGATCTAGAAAGACACGGGACTCCAGTGTTCTGTGGTTACATGGGAAGACATGTGACTGGGTGAGCAAAGTCGGCTCTCTTTCTAATTCGCATTTGGTATTGATTCCATTACAAATGATAATCTATAAACTTAATGGAAACATTTCCAGCTGCTATTTACTTCAGTATTGTGGAATGAAAAAATTCCTTAGCATATAATTTGGAATTCTTCAGCAGTGTATCAAATTTGTCTGCATTGACATTTGTCTATACTTGAGAGAGTTGCTACGTCTAAAAGTCTGAAATTCCATGGTGAAATTGTGTTCTTGGGAGTTTATCAAGAAAGTGGTATATGATTGCAGAATGGAGAGCCAGCCCTAAAGGTGTAACAAGTATTCATTAATGCAGCTGCTCTAAATACAGCTACTGGGCTGCCATGCCACCCATTTGCCACGTTCTTCACATTTACATCATGCTTTTCAGTCTCCTGCGTGTGTTTCCTGTTTCTAGTTTTTTGGAAGATCACATCAAAGTTTTATTAATTGGTAATCAACTAAACCTCTTGCTCTGTAATAAACAAATACTGACTTCTAATGTTAAAGGTCTCCCTTACATACTCAATATCCTTCTGTCTGGTGACAGAATCCCAGAATTCAAAAATCAGGAAGCAGAACCAGGGCTGCCATTACCTAAAAGAGTCATTAGGTGGCAGTGGTGGATAGGAATGTTACTAATGTCTTCTCCAGGGCAGACAGTACTTGCAGGAGGTGCCAATGCTGTACAAGTTGTGGGGATACTGCTGTTCACAGAAGGGAGTATGAGCCGGTGAGCCTGTTTAGAATCTCCATCCAAACTCTCTGCGACAGATATTAAGACCAAGAACACCTTACTAGATATAAGTGCTAAAGCAAAAGCCACAAAACTCAGGATCTACCCGTAAGGATATCACAAAATAAAGACCGACCTGTTGTCAGGTTTCACGGTGCCATTTCCAAACATGCCACTACCCATGTGACGCTGGGCAAACAACAGATTATTCACTTGTTAGTGTTTCTTAGGGGTGTATATTCTACAGAACTCATATTATTCACCTTGAGTCAACATGCTTGCTTCACAATAACTCCTCAATAATATTTTTTAAATAACTGATTCCATTTTTCTCTCCAGGCCTAGGTTTGTTCATCAAAAAAATAAGAGAGTTGCTAGCTTTAAAAATCTGAAGTTTCATGGTTCTCATTAAGAATAATAGAGGCCCTGCTAGTTTCAATAGTAAAGGTCCAGTGACTCTCAGTTACAGAGACAAGTTTTGTATAAGTTTTGTTGGGAGCACAAGGCACCAACTGGAACAAGTAGATGACAGGATGACCTGTAGCCCAATCTCACTAAGATGCATCATCTCATAAGGCTCAATGTGTAAGCCAAGCTCACATAACACCTCTAAATAAGTTGCTGGACATCACAGGGGCTTTGCCTCCTAAAAAGCCACTTGCTTTTTGAAAGCTCGCACGTTCCAGTCTGCAGAGGTAAAAGAGTATCTTTACTTCTGATTTGCAGAATATGCACATTCATTTTGCAACAAGTCAATTAAGTTTTGCTCGGGCTTACTGTAATCTTGATTTCCTAAGACATCCAGGAACCAAATCCCAGCAAGCATACACCAAAACCACCAATATCTAACATCTGCTCCCTCACTCAAAACTTTCTCAATATATTCAATTCTAACTTTCTCAAAAGCAAGGTAAAATGGAATTGGGAGAAAGCCAGTAAGAGACAGATTATTTGTGGTGTAAATGTGAACCTGCCTAAGCCAAGGGTACAGAGTCCTCTAGAAATATCCTTCTAGGCATATCCTTTTAGATACCTTTGGTATCCTTCCATGCCCAAACATGTAACTGTCAGTCAGCTCAGCTTTTTGTCAGTGGAATTAGTCCCAGCTGGTTTTTGTTTTGTTTTTGAGAGATGGAGTTTTCTTGTTCTGTTGCCCAGGCTGAAGTGCAGTGGTGCAATCTTGGCTCACTGTAACCTCTGCCTCCCAGGTTAAGGCAATTCTCCTGCTTCAACCTCCCGAGTAGCTGGGATTACGGGTGCCCACCACCATACTCTGCTAATTTTTGTATTTTTGGTAGAGATGGGGTTTCACCATGTTGGCCAGGCTGGATCTCGAACTCCTGACCTCAGGTCATCTACCTGCCTCAGCCTCCCAAAGTGGAAACACATCCTGAGGTCA